ACATCACAGATTATATATTTTTTCTAAATTATTTTAAACAAAGAATTCTTCGATTTAGTGCATTAAAAAAATAAATAAAAGATAATCGAACCACCTTAATTAAAGGCCTGCCTACCTCTTAGGTTGTGTTTGGTGTTGAATTAAAAATTTGAAAGAGAAAGGTTAAGAGTGTAAAACATGTTAAGGTGCGAAGTGTTAACGATATTTGATAAGAGTTGAAAAAATTAGAAATAAAAATGTATCCCCATATAATAAATGTTATCTTCCTTGAGAATTTCTCATCCCCTCACAAATTGTCCCAACACAAGTAAAGGAGGTGAAAAGTGGTCCTTATAATTTTTCACCCCCTTCACGTCCATACCAAACACATCCGGATGCGTTTGGTAAGGAGTGAACTTTTTGAGGTAAAATGTAGGGTAAGTTTTAAAGGTGCAAAAGTTTCAAAGGGTGAAATGTTAATGATGTTTTGAAAATGAAAAAGTTTTTCGGAGATAAATTAATCATGGTGGTAGGACCTACAAGCATTAAATATACATGTATGAAAGATAGTGGGTGGGCTTATACTTTATAATTGATAAGTTAATAATATTCCGTAGGACTTCTAGTCTATGAAGTATGGATACGGATACAAAATATGAGTACGGTACGATATAGATATAATGATACGACAATTTTAAAAAATTTAAGATACGATACAATACAAGAGAGATATGTTAATTTTATAATTATTTTACATTTTATACAAAATATTTATTGTAAAAATAAATAAAAATCAATACTAAGAATTAATATAATTTTTAAAATACACAAAAGAACAAATAGATTTCATTTTATTTATAATTATAAATAAATTTTGGATGTCTAAAAATTAATTTATCTAAAAAAATATTATAGTAGTATTTATTATAAGATCAATCACAATTTCATCTTTTTCACATTCAAATTTAATTAGTGCTACTCATCGTTTTTTTTTTTTTAATTTGTCATCTATGAAAAAATAAATAAATAATTGTTTAATCTGGAGGTCATGTGTTGTTATAAAATTTATATAAAAATTATGATGCTTAGGTTTTCACTTCAAATAAATATATATAAAATACGATCATATTATCAATTTTTTCATTGTTTTAAATGTTCGAAAATCAGAAATAATTAATTAAAAAAATTTAAGTACGGTTATGTTTAGTTAAAAAGAAAAAATTAACTTGTAAAGCTTAATACCATATTTGGCTCTCTTTTTTTCCAAATAATAATAATTTTATACAAAAAAGTATCTTTTACTTATCATTTCTAGTTGTATCCCATGCATCTAAAATTAAATTTATTTACTATTATTATTTTATTATATTTCTATGTATCTTATACACATCGAGCCTTATTTGACACGTATTCGTATTCAATACATTCCAACACGAAAGCAAGAGTTTCTTTTAGAGTATATGTGCTTCTTAGCCTATCTAAAAAACGATGAAAGATACATTAATTTACTATAGCATCTTGGATTTCCTGTAGTCGTAAAACAAATAATGGTCTGCTTTATTTCTTATTTCTTTTTCTTTTTTTAATGTATAAACAGGGATCCAAAATCAGACGACTTGGATGGCAGGAGAACAAATTAAGTTATTTGCAGTGGTCCTAAATCCTAATTGTTGTGGTCCAAGAATGTAGGTTGATTTAATTACATAATGAGAGAGCCAAGTTTATGTCATGATCCTAATGTTTTGGTTTTGTTTTAACTGTAATCTTAATATGATTCATAACCTTCTAAACTAGCAAACCTTTTCTCTCTTATCACCAAATATAATTAAATAATTTTGATTCCATTCCGACGTCACCTCACCAATTTTTTTTGTTTTTTAATTTAACATGTGTCCTTCACTTCAAATGGTGATAAGTGATAACGACTAGATAGATAAAGAAATAACAACTTAACTCCACTAAACAATAATAGTTAAATTGGTCAAATTTACTCTAAGATGTTGTTTGATAATCGGGAATAGAGTGATAAGAATGAGAATGCGGGAATCGAAATGGTATTTATATTTTCATACTGTATTTAGAATATGAATAAGGAATCGGAATGCAATTTAAATTTTTTAATATCTAATTTTTTATACAAATAAAAATAATAATTAAAAAATAATTTTATTAAATTATAATGGTTGTAAAAATAATAAAGGTGATTATGGTTATAACGGTGATAGTTCTAACGTTGGTGATGGTGATATTGATGATGATGGTGATTGTGGTTGCAATAGTGGTGGTGGTGGTGGTGGTGGTGGCAATAAAAATAGTTAATAAATAATAAATAAATAAAATATATTATTATTTAAAAAAAATATTCTCATTCCTTATTTTTATTCTCACATCTTATGTAGGAATGAAGTTATGTGTAAATTTTTATTCTCATTCTCACTTCATTCATTTTAACCAAACAGACTACAATGTGAGAATAAAATTTTCATTCCCATTTTCATTACTCGTATTTCGATTACCAAACAATACTTAAATTTAATGCATTTAAGATTGAGTATTTAAACTTTAAATTTGGTTTTTGAGATTTATGAACTTTTAACTTTTTTGAAATTTAGGCTATTTTTTATTTTTTATCACTTATCCTAAAAATAACAATTACGTAAATAGTTCTATTATGAAAATAATTTAGTAAGATTTATATGGGACTCTTAAAAAAAATGAGATCATTTCGAATTATTTTCTATTTTTCTTAATTTTTTATACTTTTAAATCTTCAAAATAATATATATATATATATATATACACTTTTAGATTTTGAAAAAAAAAGGGGATTTTTTTAAAAAAACAATGATTGAATTTTTTTTTCAACCCGTGTGTAAAATTTCAAATCAAAATACGAAGAATTGAATTTTGTAGAGAAGAAGGTGATGACTCGAAAATCATTAGATTGCTTAAATCTCAAAAAAAAAAAAAAAATTAATTGAAGTTGATGGAATTAATTTCAAATGAATTAAAGTTCAAAAAACAGAAGAAGAAATATTGACTTTTTTGTCAAAAATAAATTCAACAAAGTCCAAGCGAAATTAAGGTCTTGATGGGCTTAGGATCCTACATTCACTTTTTACTAACCAAATTAATTTTATTCGTCCCACTATAGCACATGCATGATGTCGTGTGACCAGATACCTCGCCAAGTTAATTGCTTTTTTTTTTTTTTTTAATTTCCTTTTTTCTTTATATATCACATAAATGTTTTTAAAAATGCCAAACAGATTAATTTATGTCATAACTCAAAGTAAACTATTGGTTTGGACATCCATCTCATCATATGGATCTTCGTTATTAAAGAATTCCAATATCATGTTAAGTGCCGTGTTTATATAATTAGGCAATGACAATTTGGGCATAGCATCTAATTAAAATTTGCATGCTTGTTAAACTTCTTCTATTCATCATTTCATTTTCTCTTAATCAAATGATTTCGATGGCTGATTTTTGTCATAACCCAATTTGCCTCTCAATCCTTTTTATCCCTTTTATTTTTTATTTTATCCTTTATTTTCTTTTATTTAGTTGTTTATTGGTTATTTGTATTTATTTTTATTTTTATATCTATTTTATTGAAAAACAAAGGGAAGGAAAAAAATCAAAATACCAAAAAATAAAAAAAATAAAAAATCAGAGGTACAATTGAATCAAGCAAAAGTGAAATTGAGACAATTAGGGATACAATTAGATCAATTAAAAATTTAAAACCACAATTATAGGACCCTAGGACTTAATTGAAGAAATAAAAAAATATAGGGACTAAATTGATATATCTAAATGGTACAATCGAAACAAAATCTAACTAACAGAGACCTAAATCAACCCAAGATATAGATGATAGGATCAATCTAGACCATCCGAGCCACCTATCAGTTGAGCTCCTCCAACAAAAATCCAACACACTAGTTACTGCACTCTACCAATCTTTAGTTCTGTTTCATCTTCACCAGCAAAGACAACAGACAAGAAGGGACAAGGTTGCCAACTCCTTGTACTACAATTTTCGTTAGAGAATTACAGCGTACATTCCTCTTGTTACATTGCACCTACAAAACAAACGATACCAACGCATAAACAACACACAAACATGCACATTTTGCCATGTCCATGTAGAGTCAAAACACAAAGCAGACAGTATGGTTTGTTTGCCTATGAAAGAGGTGGGAATTGATCCTAGGGAGAAGAGGTGTGCATTTTGTGTGTAAAATTCATTTAATCTAGTATTTCATAAATCAAAAAAAAAAAAAAAAAACCAATAAGCTACTACAAAAAATATTTGACCAGCCTTTACCTTATTTTTGTAAAATCCGGCCAATTCGACCTTTTTCGATTAAATTGTATGAAATTGTAAGATGATATCAGTTTATAAAAATATAAAAATTTCAAAATAAATAAATAAATAAAGGGTTCAAAATTTTTTATGGTCAAAAAAATATTCTTGTAAAAACTAAATTTAAGAGATAAAAAAATTCCGCAAATACTAACTGACAAAAAATTGAAGAAATAGGAAGCAATAATGTTTTATTTTCTTAAGAAAAAAGAAAGCTAAATTTTTATTTAAAAAAATCAGAAATCCCCAACCATTAATTCTTTTCTTTTCTTTAATTTCTGAAGAAATAAAAAAATTCTAAAATATTGTTATTTAGATTTGTTTTTTTTTAAATTAATTCCTTAAACATTTTACAATTTTTTTATTGAGAAGTTTAATTTTTTTTATTTCTTAAATATTGTTAAAAATTATAATTGGTAGTCATCGAACAATTAACTGATTTAGTGTTATTTAATCTCATTGAGTTGAAGCAACAAAATTTGCCAAACATAGTGTAAATGTGACCATAATGTTTTTACATAGATTTATTTACCGAACTGATACAAACATAATTAAGAAAATGATTTTGAGAAATTTCTAAGGATTGAACATGCAAAAGACGAACACATTTCCACACACAAGGCTTCAATTAAATTAATACTTAGCATTAAGCCTTAGTGGGATCGAAACGGGTGATGGGATAGCACGCAAGAGGCAATGCCCTTGATCCTGAGTATCCTGTCGCCACTCTGTTCACAATCTTGTCAGCATCTTTCACTTCCCAATCAAAGCATTGTACGAGGGCACCTATCGTCGCGTGCGTGACAATCAAACCATGGGATGCACCAATGCATGCTCTCCTTCCACTACCAAATGGCTGGAAATGAAAATCTCTATCCCCCTTGAAGCTCCATGTTGAACGATGATCAATATTATTGGTGTCAATCGAATTATTGGCCAAGAACCTCTCCGGCAAGAATTCATCTGGCTTCTCCCACGTACTCGGGTCTCGCATTATAGCATAGGCGTTGATGAGGATTCTAGTGCCAGCTTTAATGTCATAGCCATTGATCTTGGTATCTACGTTGCACTGCCTTGCTCGCAAGGTTCCTCTTAACCTTAGGGTTTCCTTCACAACTGCTTGTAAGAAAGGAAGGCTTGGGACGTCTGATTCTTTGACTAGCCTATAATTAGACCCAACAACAGAATGAATTTCCTCCCTAAGCTTCATAAACACAGTGGGGTTGTTTATTAACTCTACAATGGTAGATTGCAAGGATGTTGCGATCGATTCCACACCCGCGAAAAAAATTTCCTGTCAATGAAATTAAGTTCAAGAAACAATATACTAGTACCTTATAATATTGGTATAATTTATTAATACGTTTAAATTAGTACATAATCAACTTTGATTAGCACTCATGAATGAATGGAATAGATAAATTGATTGGAATTTTGTTTTTCTTATTTTAGATTTTCTAGCAGAATTTAGAGAAACTTTTTATTGTTTGTAATATGAACCTTGATAGTTTCATAATTAAACGAGAGATGAATTTTTTAAATCAAAATCAGACTATTAATTACATATTGAAATCTAAATTTTAATGTAATTTTTTTTTTAAATAGCGCATCTTAATTATTTAATTAATTTTGATGATCAATGGTGTCTAGATATTATATTCACTTAAAAATCACAAATGAACTTATCACTTGAGATCATGCTCCTTGCACGAGACTATTACTAACTAACACGTAAAGCCAAAAAAAAAAAAAAAAAAAAGGACAAAAATGTTAGATTTAACAAAGTGCATTTTAAAAAGAAAAGAAAAGAAAAGAAAAGAAAAAGAATAACAAAACCTGCACTTAATTAGAGAAACCTATATATTTATTAAAAGTAAAGAACTCACTAGGAAGAACTTCTTTATATGCATCCTTGTTAACTTCAATTCAGCGTTCGTGTCTTTATATGTCTCCATTAAAATGTCCATCACGTCTTTCTCTTTTTTGTCACAAGTACTGTTGATCAACTTATCAAAATTGTCTTCATATTCCTTCATCAGTTGCTCCAGCAGCTTGTCATACTTCCTAGTCGCTGATACAAGCCTTTTCCCTTTTCCTGAAAGGTCAAATCTGTTCAATGGACCAAAAACATCAGTGAAACTAAACTTTGCTGCATTTTTCATTATGTCCCCTACCAAAGTCCTTATTTCTAAGGGTAAATTAGGGTTATCCATGCATCTGTTTCCTATCGCCATCCTACAAATTATATTACTCGAGAAGGCTGATAGCTCTTCACCTAAATCGCATGGCTTCCCTTCTCTTGATTTTTCCACCAGTGATTTTAAAAGCTTCAACGTCTCTTGCTCTCGGATATGAATGAATCGATCAAGCTGGGAGCCAGCGAATAGTTTGGTCATGCATAGCTTCTTCATGAACCGCCAATATGGACCATATTGGGCATTGAAGAAAGTATATCCATCGTAAATGTCAAATTTTGAGAGACCAAAACCGAGTGTATATTTTGATGCAAAATCAACATCATTGATTTTCAACATCTCCCTGGCTGTTTTGGCATCGGATACAACATAAATAGGTATTGATCCAAAACGTATTTGCATGAGGGGGCCATATCTGCTAGCAAGTGTTTTGAGGGAATTCGGTAACTTTGAGCTTAACAGGTGAAGGTGGCCAATGATGGGTAGGGCTGGAGGGCTTGGTGGGTGGCGAGTCTTGGCACAAAAGCTGGTGCATGTTTTGATGAAGAGTTGCACCACAAGGGTAATGGCAATCCAAGCGATGCAAAGGTAGCAATAATATGCAAAACCATTCTCACCGGAGGCCATGATCAGCAAGTTCTATAACTTTTACACGAATGGAAGAGGTTTTTATAGTGATTGATTTTCAAGCTAGTATTTAAGAGCACTGTAGGCGGGGAAAAATATATATCTTGCATAGAGTTTTGTGCGACTGCTAGCTGGGGACGTAACTGACCTTTCATTTAGATTGAGAAAATTAACAATTACTACTTGTATGAATTCTTTAGTCCACAAACCCCAATTCAAATTGTTGAACTTTTATTATTAATAATATTGATAAATTTGCATAACTGGTAAGTGTACTTAGGGGCAAGTGCAGCACATGCCCACATGCATGCATTAGCACACTCCAAGAAGCAAGCACTTATCAACTATTTGTGGATGCCATTTACACTTTTTTTTTTTTTTTTTGGTAGATTGCCCATCATTTACTTCACAATCGATGCATTGAACCAAACATCAAATGTTTCTGGCATATAATAGATTTGAAGGATTTTCATTGTTTCATTTGATCAAGATTGCCTGTTGAGTTGACCAAAAACTTCCCTAACCTGTACCACTGACACTTGGGGTTATCCACGTGTCAATGGTCCCTCATCATCGGATAGGCGTTGCCTACCTAGCCTTATAGCTAGCTTTGACTTTACATCAAAGCCATTGGCTCGCAGTATTTGATGCACTCAGTAGTCAGTGCTGTTTAGCCTTAACCATGGATTTGCTTCACCTGCAGGTTAATTAAACTGCGGATAAAGTACCAATAATATTGCTTACAAAAGGGAGTTCTTAATATAATATTTACACCAATAAGCTCAGGTCAACGTAATTCAACAAATAAATTACTGTAAATTATGTAGTGTTTTTCAAATCTTCTAGTAAGCATTTAAAAAGAAAATAAATAAATTTATGTGAATGCATAGGTTATGTTAGGACTTGTCTCTAAAATCAACCGATTAAAAAAAAAAATTGATTTATATATAACTTGGCGCTCTCGTTTTTTATTTAATCGTTGGAGGGATTTTTCTACTCTTTCTTTCATTTTTATAGTGTTTGTTTACTCTTTTTCATGTTAAAATTCAATTTTCTTTTAAGTTTAGTTTTTGTATTTAATTATGTCTTTTCATTAAAATTTTGAGTTAATGGTATTAAATCGCATATTTGGCATCATAGGATGCTATTACTCTTTTTTTACCAAACATAAATAAATAATTTGAAGAAAAAATTAACACATGTGATAATCTTGTAACGTTAACACTATTGACCTAAAAATTTAATTAATAAAATTAAAACAGAAATCAAATGTAAACGAATAAAATAAAAATAAAAAAATAAAAAGATTCGTTAAAGACGAAAAAATAAAAAAGACACCTATTATCATTAATCTTAAAAAAAATAATAATAATATTGGCTGGGGACATAGCCGTAGGCTCGCTAACACGGAAACAATCCAATAAGAAAAAAAATTATCTTCGGTCGATTGGTGAAATTTCAAGGATGATTGTGCAAACAGTTGATGAAATAGGGTAGCCGCCTAAAAAATAGTCAGGTTGAATCTTTCAGAAGGCTCAATTGATATTCCAGTCAATTAGGTGAGAGAGGCATTCGGGGACGTGCATTTGGCCGCTCTTTGTGTCTACAGGCAAAGCTCATTCCCGGAAAACGATAAAACTATCCTTAATTCTGTCTTCTTATGCTCCGTCCTTCCAAAAATTGTTTTACTTTCTATTTTTATTTATTTCAAATAGTTGTTTTAATGAAAATATTAAGCATGTATTTTTCTTTAAAACTTTTAGTCTAAATTCATCTTGTAAGGGAGCTACAATATTTAAAATGAAAGTATTTTGAAAACTGTGAGTAAAAAAAGATAACATAACATAATAATTAATAATTTTTTAATACATGTGAAAAATTAAATATTACAATTCTAAAAGAGTATTTATACGAATGCCTACTCTACCGTCCAATTCGAATACTCCGTACGGTACAAAATAGAAGCGGATGACGATAGGAAAGAAATTCAAATACCTTTTAATTATTTAAAATATGAAAATTGATGAGCTACTTCGCAATTCTACTTTTAATTCTTTCTCAGATTAAAAAGATAAGGTTTACTCTCTCTCTCTCTCTCTCTCTCTCTCTCTCTACATGTTTTAAGTGCACATATGCATCTTGGGTATAAAATTTTGTCAACATTTGATTAATAAATATTGGATTACATACTTCTTAATCCTTAATTAACCCTGACTTTATTAAATTTCAGGATTTGAACATGAAAGGGGCAAAGAGGTTTAACCGTTAGAGAATCATTGACTAGTTTTTATTTTTATCAAGGTTAAAAATATTTAGGGGATGTTTATGTAGGTAAACATTGTTGTTATTATATATATATATATATATATATATATAAAACAAGCCATTTAGATCGGAGTACTAGTGTATTTACAAGTGCATGATTATTATATTAAAAATGTTTTTATTTTGATCAGCATTAATAAACGTAATGATGCGCGCAGCAATTATGGAGTCATTTTAACGGGAAGATTAGTCACACGAAAATGCTAATAAAATACTGGCTTTTCTTGCACAAGGACGCAAGGCAAAACTAACGTCTTTTTGTTAATTTGTTATGACGGCACGTCACAATGTTAATTAATTAAATTATTTTGAAATGAACGCTCCAAGCCTACAAGGGTTTTTTTTTTTTATCAAGTTATTTTTTTAATTAAAAATATGATTAATTTTGTTTGAAACGAGGATAATAAAATTTAATCTATGTAATAAAATATAATTCTAAAATTCAAACTTTACGTATTAATAAAAAATCATCTCGAAATTAATTCATTTATGTTTTGTTAATTTATTATGAAAGTAATTCAAATTTTAGATTTTTTTATATTTTATTTAAGATTTGAGATGTTGATCGGAAGATTTAAACTTCAAATTTTGACAAGCACTGCACAAGAAAGATTTAGAGATTGAAATACGATTATCTCCAAAGTTAATTTGTCCAGCTTTCCAATATTTGGACCAAAAATAAAAAAATAAATTACGAGTACAAAAATAAACCTCTATCAGTAAAATGCAAAGTGACACCTTTTTACACCTAGCTCTGTTTTCGATTTTCTAAAAAATAATAATTTATATGCAACCCAAATAATAATAATAATAATAATAATTTACGGCAACTACATATTAATTTGGAACCGTCATTCAAAGAGTACTTGTATTAACAGATAGAAGATGATATATATATATATATATAAAAAAAAAAGGATACAGGTCGACAAAGCCAAACGCAGGTGTGCACAAGGTATTTAATTACATGCATTTATTTCAATATTTCTAATCTTAAGATTGTCCCAAATGATACTGGAAACATGCATGATTCTCAAACCAAACCTTGACCCCTAATTAGTACCTAATAAATATGCATTAATTGATGAATGAGTTCCATGGTGGCTGTCCTAATATGCAATATTCATGTGTTCAATAGGGTAACACACAGGTGGATGAGCCATTTCTGCTGCAAAACCCGGTCCTTGGGTTAAATCAACCTTCTTCCCATCCTTCACTTCCCAATCAAAGCACTGAACCAATGCCCCTACTGCAGCATGCATCATCATCATAGCGAGCGATGCACCAGGGCATCCCCTCCTTCCACTCCCAAATGGAAGGTACCGAAAATTTTGACCCTTGAATTCCATTTGATGCTCACCAATTTTCTCCTCAGAACTCTCCATGAACCTTTCAGGCATGAATTCGTTTGGATTAGTCCACGATTCAGGGTCCCTCATGACAGCATAGACATTGACAAGAACTCTTGTCTTTGCCTTAATGACAGAACCGTTGATCTTGCAATCTTCAGCACATTCTCTGATGATTAAGGGTGCTGAAGGGTGGAGTCTTAGTGTTTCTCTCATGACTGCTCTAAGGTAAGGGAGGTTTGGAACATCTGATTCTTTAACAAGTCTATCAGGCCCAACAACTGTATTGATCTCATCTCTAAGCTTCTTGAATGCCTTAGGGCTGTTGATGAGCTCTCCCATGGCCCATTGCATGGCTGCTGATGATGTGTCCGTCCCGGCAAAGAATATATCCTGAACACATATCGTAGATGTTAGCAATTCCCATAATTGAAGAAATAAATATATATAGGAGTGTGGAAGATCCACATAATTCTGTAGAGTGAATGAGAAGGAACTTACGAGCAAGAAAGACTTGATGTCATTTTTAGATAATTTAAGTTCAGCAGTTGGATCATTATATATCTCCAACAATATGTCCATCAAATCCTTCCTCTCCCTTTCCACAAAACCTTTCTTCGCCTTCTCTTCATGCTCCGTAATTATCCTCTCCACTAACCTATCATATTCTTTTAGTGCCCCAACTAACTTGTTCCCATTCCCAGAGAAATCAAAAATCCTGAAAGGACCCAAAATATCCCCTAAACTTAGCTTCCCTGCAAGCTGTAAACATGTCTTAACCAACCGCTTAATCTGGTCAGCATCATTATCACTACCTGAGCACCTTGTGCTCATTGACATCCTACAAATAGTATTGTTCGTCAAAGCTGTAAGCTCACTGCTCAAATCACACAACTTTCCTTCTCTAGCACACCCCATCACCGATTCGACAAGCTTGACCTTTTCTTCGTCACGGATGTCAGTGAACTTATCAAGTTGAGGGACAGCAAGGAGCCTTGTCATGCATAGCTTTTTCATGAACCGCCAATAATCACCATACTGGGCAGTGACAAATCTTGATCCTCTATAAATGAAGTATTCGGATGAGCCAAATTCAGGTCTAGAGGAAAAATTGAGGTCTTGGTTCTTAAATATTTCTTTGGCCACCGCAGCATTAGAAGCAACAACACATGTTGATGCCCCTAGACGGATCTGCATGAGTGGACCGTAGCGGTTGGCAAGGATTTGGAAAGATTTTGCTAGGACCGAGCCAATTAGGTGGAGGTGGCCAATAACTGGTATAGCTGGCGGGCTCGGTGGGAGGCTGTTTTGACTACGGGATTTTAAGAATGTTTTGATAAAGAAGTGGACTAGTAAGGCAGTGATGAACCAAAGAAGGAAGAGGAGGTAATAGAGCATATCGGGTGTAGCCATAGCAAGTTTGAATCGAGAGAGGGCTTTTCTTGGGTTTTACACCTGTAAGAAATGGAAGTTCATGATGCGCTTATATAGAGAATTTGCATGGACAGTACTTTGCTAATATATATATATATATATATATATATATATATATATATATATAAAAGAAGTTTTGTGTCCGAATATTTATAGAAAAAAGACATTAATGCTAATTGAATTAAAAATTGTTTATATATTTTTTTTAAAAAATAGATTATAAATGTATAAGTGCATGCCTATATATATAATTTTTTAAAAATATTATACTTTTCATTCCCACTTGAAATGGAAAATATTCTAGTTACGAGGACTATTAGCATAAGCAGGACTGTATCCATTATTCATATCAAGCACTTTGTATTTATCTTATACAGTTATAGGTTCTTATCACATGTATTTTTATATAAATACATTTCACATCAAGATTAATATATACAAGAGTTTTGAATACTTCACACGGTATCAAAATAAATCTTTTTTTCACTATTCATCTTTTATAATCGTCTTGTTTTTCTTCTCTATCGATGGCTGGCCAACTCATTGTTTCATCTCACACTACTCCCTCTCGCTACACCCATCTCCCATCACATTTTTGCCGTAAAACTTATTGCTCGTAACTTTCTCACCTAGAAAACTCAAATTTTATCATTGCTAAACTATCGTAAACTTAATGGTTTTGTTGATGGCACGAGCCTCCTCACCACCATGCACTATTCCATCGCCTACTACTTCCTCCACATCTATTCCTAATCCGGATTTTGAATCATGCTTTCAACAAAAAAAAAAAAAATGTTACTTTTATGGCTACTCTCTTCTCTAAGGTCGAGTATGTTTTTCCTTATGTAATTGATTTGCAATCTTCTTGCTTAGTTTGGAAGACATTAGAAACTACATCTAGTTCTATATCTCATAATCGTCAATTGCGGCTTAATACAACACTCTAGAAGCAAAAGAACCACGATATGTTTGTCATTGATTATCTTCAAAAATCCAAGAGCCTTGCTTATGAACTTTCCGCTACCGGTCGCTCCATCTTTAGTACCGAGTTTAATGTGATTATCTATTACAATATTAGGATCGAATATCATGTCATTATTACTCGCCTTGAATCTATGACATGATCCCATTTCCTTTTCAAAACTCCATGGTCATCCATGAGATTTTAGGCAAAAGCATGAATACTCGTCTAACTCGCCAATATCACTTTTAAATATCCACCAGTCTCTTCACTATGCCCATTTTCATCATCTTCCTTTACTAGGTAGAATCATAACTCTTTTGAGTTTCATTCTCTAAGCCAATACATGCATAATCGTGGCCCTTACCAAATTTATGGTTTTAGGAACCACATTATTGATAAGAGCATGCCTTATTTTGCATCGCACCAAATTTCCTTTAACTCACCACTCGCCAATGTTGCTTGGCATGATTCGACTATGCTAGTCCACTCTCATCCCATGCCACCTTTTATTATGCCTCTTGCATATTCACCACTTCCTTCTTCTCCTTCCACAATAGGCTAGTATCCTAATACAAGTGCTACGCATCATATAACTCCAAATTACTTTGCTCTCTCTAATGTTACGACTTATAAGGGTACAAATCAGATTAATGCTAGTGATGGTCTAGGTTTGCCTATTTCACATGCCGCTATTGCTTCTTACCTTTCCCATTCTCCTAATAAACATTTCAATCTTTAAAATGTTTACCATGTTTTTACTTTTACTAAATCTCTTATGTCTCGCTCATAAATTCACCACCGATAACAATTGTTTTTTTGAATTTTGGCCTTCTTATTTTCTCGATAAAGGATCGGGAGAGCAAGAAAACCCCGTTGCAAGGTAGGTGTGAGAATGGACTCTACCGACTACCGTTTCCACACAAGTAGGTGTTCCTAAGCCAAAGCGTTCCATTTGCAACTTGGCACTCTCATTTTGGTTATCCTCAATCTTGCACTATATCCAAAATCATTAAAGATAATGACTTGTATTGTTCTACTCCATCTATGTCCGCTTGTAGCTATTTTGCATGTCACTTAGTAAAGTTAACTCATTTGCTTTCGGCTTTTATTGAACACACAAGTAGTAAACCTTCGATATCATTCATTCAAATCTCCTATGATTTCTACTTAGGATATCGATATTTTCTCTTGTTTATTGATGATTTTACATAGTTTACTTGGGTTTATTTTCTTAAAAAATAAAAGTGAAGTTCATTTCCTTTTTCTCCAATTTCAATCTTATGTTCCTCAATAATTTAATAGAACAATTAAATCATTCCATTTAGACTAGGGAGGAGAGTATCAAAAATTGTATTATTATTTCAAACAAGTTGGCATTATTCATCTTATTGCATATCCATACACTCATGACCGAATGGCGTTTCTAAGCGTAAAATCAAGCATATTATTGACACTAGCTTAACTACTTTGGCACATGCTCGCTATTCCATTCAAATTTTAACCTTGTGTTTTGTCAATCAACTTATTATCCACTTTGAAAATCTTTGGTTGTACAATATATCCTCTTCACGCCCATATAATCGGCACAAATTTTCTTTTTGCACTAAGGTTTGTATTTATTTGGGCCGTCTCCTCATCATCATGGTCAATTATGCCTTGATCCCGAAAATAATAGAATCTACATGGCTAGATACGTTAAATTTGATGAAACTACTTTCCCTTACATAAAAAAAGGTCGATCGAATGAGAGCTCCACTTTGCCAAGGTCTACAACTAATTCATGGATGACAATTTCGGTTCCATCTCCTTTTACCATGTAACACAATATGTCTATCTCTACTCCTTTACTTTTCTCTCCATCTACTTCTATTTCCTCCCCTTTTATGACTCCTACATCAATCGGGATAACTTATGTTTCCTCCTCTCCTTCACCTCCCTGCAAGAACTAGGATAATATCTCCTACCTCTCATCCCTTTACTCATTCCCATATCATCCATCGTATTGTGAAACCTCCTCCTTCATTTGCCAATTCCTCTCCTAGTCTTAATCTTATTTTTTATCTTTTTACCTATATATCCCATTACGTCGTCTACTATATTTGATTCTCTACTCACCCGAATCCACTATATGGCCCTTCATCCCTCTACCATGCATAAATGCCAAGCTAATATTGTGCTTAAAAGAAAAAAACCCAACCTTTATTACCTTAAACATGAACCACAAACTTATACCCAAGTCGAACTGTTAAGTGAATGGCAATCGGCCATGGTAGCTAAAATAGATGCATTCTTAGCTAATACCATTTGGACTCTTATTTCACATCCATTAAATGTTAACATTGTAGGGAAATGGTGGGTCTACAGGATTAAACGGACTCGAGATGGTAAGTTGATTGCTACTAAGGGATACACACAAACATTAGGTTTGGACTATAAAGATACTTTCAATCATATGGTTAAATCCATAACAATTCGGGTTCGTTGGCTTTAGCTTCCATGTTTCGTTGGTCCATAAAGCAACCGGATGCTTCAAATGCCTTTCTACATGGACATCTTGATGAATAAGTCTTTATGGAACAACCACGAGGCTTCATTGATCCTTCATGCTCAAACTTTATTTGCAAGTTGAGTCGTTCTCTAGATGGCTTAAAATAGGCCCCACGAGCTTGGTTTATATGGCTAAGTCGGTTTCTTATTTCTTTGTAGTTCACACCATCAAAGGTCGACTCATCCTTGTTCATGTTTCGCTCTGCTATTGTTATTGTTTTTTTGTTGATTTATGTGGATGACTTAATCATCACATGTTTCTCTCCTATACTAATCTTAGATATTATCTCTCAACTCAAATGCAAATTTTCTATTTATGACTCGGGTTCTCTTCGTTACTTTATTGGTATAGAGGTCTCTACTCATCCCAATGGCATTATCCTCTCTCAGCAAAAGTATATTGGTGATTTTCTTGCTCATACCGATATGGAAGATTTCAATCCTCGTTCCACTCCAATGGTGATTTCTCCTACTTTGTCAAAAACCAGTGGCGATCCACTCGAGCATGGTGATAATAATCATCAATTGCTTGGTGCTCTTCATTATGTTACCATCACTCGCCCGGACATCGCATATACTATTAATAAACTTTGTCAATTCATGCATTATTCGATCGATGAGCATTGGAAAGCTTTAAAGATATTACTACTTTACTTGAAAGATACTCAATCCAAAGGTTTTTTTTTTTTTTTTGCTTCTACTTCACATCTAGAGCTACAATATTATACTAATAATGATTAGGGAGGTGACTTGCATGATTGGTGTTAACCGAGTGGCTATAATATTTTTTGGGGTTCATTTTGGTTTCTTGGATGGCCAAGAAACAATATATCATTGCTCGTTCTTCTACAAAAAGTGAATATAAGGCTATTACAAATGCCACAATGGAAGTCATCCGGATTCGTTCTCTTCTTGTTGAAATTGTCTTTGCTATTTCTAACTCAAATCTTTGGCGTGACAATGTTAGTGTCATATATCTTACCTCCAATCTAGTGTTTCATGCTAAGACGAAACACATTGAACTAAATTATCATTTTGTTTGAGAACAAGTAGCCAATGGTGCTCTTACAATTCGCTTTCTTTCCACCAGCGACTAAGTAGCCGATATCTTCACGAACCTCTTGTCCATCTCTTGTTTTCGGTTTCTCGAGACAAGCTTCACCTAACAGATGCCCAATGGCTTGCCAAAGGGTGGTAGGACTGTTAACATTGTAGGAATGTTAGTAGAAATAGGATTGTACCCATTGTTCAATCTCTTTTTTGACATCAAACACTTTGTATTTATTTTGTATAACTATAGGTCCTTATCACAAATATATATTTCTATATAAATATGTTTCACATCAAGATCATTAATATATACAAGAGTTTTCAATACTTCACACTAATTACATGATTTGTAAAAAAGATTATATATAGTTAGATTTGTTTAAAGGATACTTGGATATATTCTAAATTACAACATTTTCGTGGAATTAGTGAACGGATTATGAGTTTGAAAGGGACATATCATGCATGCATGTTAACTAATGATTCCGTCAATGTCATCTGCAGGTTGAAGGATCAGACATTATTTGAAAACTTTGATGTGGGATCGCTATCTATGAGTCTTGATCAAATAAATAGCATATCAAAATGCAATATATATATAGATATATATATATATATATATATATATATATATATGGAATAGATTCATTCTTTTCCTTATTCCAACATCTGACAGCGAAATCTTAATCTTTGTCTTGTACTTGACACAAAACCTGACAAGTGTTCAAGGACCACGGTAGGGTCCTACTACAAAACTTAAATTTGTCCTCCTTCGCACATTATTGAAGTTGGCATGACCACCTATCAAGGACGTTTTGTGGTCCAGTTTCCTCAGCATGGACATTATTCGTTGACATTATCCTCGATGATTATTCTCCACAATGATTGGCCAATTATAAAATTTATCAAAAGAAATTATAAAAGCACAAATTGGTGTATGCAAAAAAGACTTTTGTCACCCTTTTAAACATAACTGTTCGAAATTTATATACATTATCATATTTGTTTTCGAATTTTTTAAAAAAGGTATACCTACTCATGGCAATCATCATTTTTTTTATGAGAAATATATTTTTTTTATCTAATCTGAGCATTAACCAAAAATTAAGTTTTTTGTTCGAACCATTTTGAAAATACATCTTTATCCCGGTTCTATATGGTACTTGCTGCTGAGTATGACGTGGGACAAAATCAATCTATCTTGAGATTTTTCTTTCTTCATTATCTTAATTACTATTATTTTGTAGTTTGAAAGTCTTTTTGGCTTTTATACAAGAATTATCATAATTTTTGGATTTTATTTGGTATAATTATCAAAAATAAAAAACCTTTCAAAAAAAATTATCTAAAAAAACCCAACAATATATTTTTAAATCTTTTCATTGCAAAGTAATTTTTTTCTTATCAAAAGAATTAATAATTAACCTTTAACTTAACACGATTTAATATAATTTTGTTATTGACTAACTTTAATACTACTAAAACTATTTTCTTTTTTTAATGCTTATGCTGATCCATCATAGAAGAACATCACCCGACTAGAAGCCTGTCTAATTAAAGATCTTAATTGTACACCACCACACTCTTCCTTTAGTCATATGATCAGCTACTTTCGTCATGGAATGTCATTTTGTGGGAAAGGCTTACCTTCTGTGAACCCCTTGGCCAGACCCTTTTAAGTTGTTTTCTTATGCAATTATTCTCACCTCTTTTTGATCCCATCAATAATACATTGAATGTCATGTTTGTCGGGATTGGCATACACTTACTTTACTATGAGTTCCCAGAAAATCCTTCAATATCTTGAATTTTTGACGTGATTTGATCATTCAAACACTCCTCAAGTTCTGTTAAATATTCTGTATGCTATTAAGTTGTTAGGTCTGTTTGGATAACAACTTTGCCTAATTTTTTTAATCGGGCAATTTTTGACAGCTTGCGTATTTGTGCGTAAAATGATCATAACTCTATCTGGGAAGTTTCAAATGACGCACTGTTTGATGCGTATAAAAAGAACATGAAGGATTACAACATACATGAAAGAGAGTGGTTCATTATTAGGTATCATGGATGAGCAAGAAACCTATAAATATTGACTGCAACAAATAAATCAACATACAACAATCCAACACACAAGAAAATTCTTGCAAATTCCAAGTAGCTCAAGGAGCACTTTCATAAGTTTCATACTTGAAACTTGTTTGACAGTAACTAGTAGATAGTAATTTGTAGGCTATAACTTATAGACAGTAATCAATAAGTAAAATTTTGTAGGTTTTAATGCAGTAGGCAATAACCTGTAAGCTAGTGGTTGGTCTCTTATCCTTTGTTTGTGTTTGTAACAATTACCATTCTCAATTCTTTCAAGGTTCGTTATGTTTGAAGTGTCAATTTATGAATGCATATAATTTTATTATTATTATTATTGTAAGTTCGTTGTTTTCAGCTTTGTAAAGAATGTTTTATTACGTTATCAAGTCTTCAAGTTCATAATTTCTAGATTTTCATTCTTATTACAGCCTATAATCTTAATGTTTTAGTTGTTTAATTCTCTAGTTTTTAGTTTAATTTTATTGGTTTGATTACATATTAGGATAGCAAGCTCAGTTGTATATTCATTTAAATCGTTTTTTTTATTTCAAGTTATCATTCCTGCAATCTTACAACTCCACCAGGTTTGAGGGTCATGATTTCCTACCAAAGATTATTGCAGCCAATTTAATTTAATTTAATTTAATTTTTTGGCAACTTAAGATACTAAAAATATCATTAGGATTAGAAGTAGTTCATATTTCAAAATTAATTTAGTACATCTATTTACATGATTGGGAGATTAAATAGAAATGGGATCATTGTCTTGTTTTACCTGACGGTATATTGTCATGAAAAAGACGTAGTGATTGAAATCAAGGAAACGAAATGAGTGCTTACAACATAGGGTAAAAGTTCCTAGTTTAAATAACCAGTTTCTCTTAGTAATTTTAGTTGTCACCAGGTTTGATCTTTTTTTATATAATTAATGCTTTTCATTTTATTTTAACAATAATGTTTTATGCCTTCCAGAAAAGATGCGTTTAAATGACCAAACTGCACATTAGAAGTAGCATTACCATCAGAAGCTAATAAGTTGCTAACTTCCTTTAAGTTGTTAGCATTCGGCAATGACTTCCATGTAAATGATCTTGGACCAACTTTTCAGTCTCCTCCCACTTCAAAATAATTAATTTTACAGTCCAAGAACTTTATATTTCCCAAACGAAGTAGTTGATCCTGGAGTTGTATTTCAACCCATTAGCCCATCAGAGCTGTCGGGCCTCTTGTTGACTCTACCTAATTTCTTTAAGGCCAGTTAAGAATGGCCCATGAAGTAGCACACTGATCAGAATAACATAACTCAAAACTGAAGTCAAACCACAGGAAGTGTACTTTGTCCATCTACAAATTGAGATGTGATCAAATTCAACTGTCAGAACTGTTGTTTTATTATTACACTGGGAAGTAATAATAGATCATAGGCAAAAGACAGTAGTACTGTACCTGGTGTTCTAACCTATTTACATCAGTCAAAGCACGTAGCACTTGTCCTACACACCTTCAAAAGAATGAAGGAACAACAACAAAACCTTCATGAGAATGAAGGGAACAAGGGTACAAGATTGCCCAGCAGCAATCTTCGCTAGTAAAACTGAAATCGAAGAGCCTCTGCCAATAAGTTCAAGACTCACACATAAAAAATATCACCAGAAGATGATGCATGTCACTCCACAGCTTGTCACCAAAGGTAGTGACTGTCTTCCCACTCTTGGTTTACCATGGAAAAGTGTGGAACTATCATCAGAAGATGATCAATTACCGCATCGACATAAGAGTTCGCACTCTTTTCTCTCTCTCGGCCTTCTTAGCACTCGGAGTCCTCTTCAGTTTTCGCAACTCCTCCATCACTACTTTCTCAACTGTGTCAATTGAGTTTAGGAGTTTCTTCTGAGGTGTTAGACAGTCTGGATCTTCGGAGGCTTGGTTTGTGATATGCTGCAAAATTTTTGGCACTTTACCAATGGTAGAAGGACAGCCCTTGACTGCGGGGGTTGATTTTGGGGACATAATCCTGTTACTGTGGTCGAGATGAGCAACTGGTGTTGCCTCAAAAGAGTCAGAATTCATGCGGCCTTGCGGCATTGGGCTCCCGATTTCTAGGCCATCGCTTCCTCCCAAGCGTCGTTCCCTTCTCCTTTCAATGGCCTGATCAAAGAATTTCTCCAAAATTAGTTTGACAGCAAAATCAGCAAAACCAAAAAACCATGAACTCCATTTCAGCAACATTCCCACCTTAATCGAACAATTATGAACCAGTGAAGGTTCTCAAAAGTTTGAGACCTCTGAGATTAGAGAATGTCTTGGCTTTTTGCCAATAAGGCAGGGGGGCGAAGATTATTTTTGACAGCCATTTGATGGGGGTACTCGAGTTGGACACCGGGGATTTATAGTCAATACGAATATGATTCAGCTGTTGGACCAATTTGACAAAACACGCATGGGGATTGATCTATGAACTTAGGACACATACTTGAGACCAGCCCATCCCCTCACAATCATGGGTGGAATGGAGAATGAAGCACAGCCATACCCACACACTAATCACTGATTTTTTCAATCAAATTTTCCCAACTGAATTTGTCACAGAATAAAGTAACCTAGTAAATTGAACAAGCAAAATTCCAATTATCTAATGAGAACCAGATTAACCCAGCATTAAAACCCCATAATAAGCTCCACAAAACACAATGAAGAAGAATTATAAAATTATTTCAAACAAGAAATTTTTTTCAGCAAAATCGAAATTAAATTATAAACAGTGAAAAAAAAAAACAAGAAAATAATCATTACCCTCACAACAGCAGTGATATCACGAAGAGGAGTCCTAGGGTACCAAGCAGGTAACACACTATTTGATCCGCGACCCCTTCCTCTCCGGGCACTTCCAGGTGGAGGCATATTTTCTCTGCCCAATGGAGTTCGGCCTCCTCGGCCCCTTGGAGTGCCCAAACCACCTCTTCCACGCCCAGTAATGGTACCCACGACCACTGTTTGAGTTCTTGTTGCTGCGTTTGGTCTAGGAGAGCCAAACAGCGCCATGTCAAGCTCGGGCTGGTCTTGATAGACACCAAGACTCCGTGATTGTCTTCTAGCGGCAAATATTGCTGCTATATCCATTGGCCTTGACAGTCTATCCCTTGCTTGTGGCATTTTTAACTGAGAAAATTAATCAAGATTCAGTTAGATTCATTAGTAATATAGAAGATTAAATGAGTCTAATTTACAATAGAGAAACTGAATTTGATTCTTCAAGGAAAACAGAGATCTCGGATTTGTATAAAGAGAACCCACTCAGTTTCCAGGAAAATGAAAGAAAAAAAATCCGAGAAAATGAAGTTTTCTCCGAAAATAACAGGAGAATAATTAAAGACGATTATTTTACTTCAATCAGTGAAGAGAAATGTAAAACAATTAACTGAATAGAATTAAGAACTTAAGATTTCCATTTATCATTTCAAGAAATGAATAGTCTGGGATAACTATAGAAACCACTTTCGTTTTCCCAGAAAAGAAAATTAGGGTTTCCTCCATCGCCAATGAAACTACAAATAAAAGAAACAGAAATCTCTCACATTTTCCTGGAAAACTCCCCATTTCCCGAGAAAATTCCCATTTTCCCGTTATTCAGACTCAGATTCTATTTCTTTTATGAAACAAGAAATCTCCGGCGACCGATTTGAGGAAATAATATTTCTTAAAACCCAAATCACTGATTTAAAAGAAAGAATAAGAATCTAAAGAAACCAGAATAAAAAGCAATTAGCATCTAAAAGAGCAAAATTAGACCCAGATACATTCTCTACTATAAACAAGTAAATCTCCAATGATCCAGATAACAAAAGAACATTTCAATGAAACCCAAATGACAGATTCTGAAGGACAATAGAAGTAATGAAAGAACACAGAAACGAGAAGAGTTTCTTGTTTGTTACCTTTGAAAGGCAAAAAATATTAAGGCTCTGGGTTTTGCTTCTTAGACTAGGGAAGAAAGGCTGTGTTTGGTATCACTGCAAGAGTAAAGAAGAAGAAGAGAAAGAGCTTTTTGAGAGAGAGAGAAGCGAAATTGGCGAATTCTTTCGAAATGAAATATGGGCGGTCTTATAGCAGGGGAATTTTTTTTGCTTCTGAAAATTTTCAGGCCCGTGGTGCTCAAATTTTGAAATTGGTTCAGCGGCGGGATAGTTGCAGTTACGTTTTTGCCCCCATGATTGGGCTTCATTATCGGGCCATGAGTGTTTTCTTTATAATCCCATCAATTTTCATTATGGACCGCATTGTCCGCTAAATGGTCTACAATTACCCATTAAATTCTAGTAGTTTTCATTACTAGGATATACCTCTACATTGCTTGTATGAAAATCAATGAATCTTTTTTAACTTTATACTTTTGATTTATATATGTTTATCTATAAAATAATAAAAATATTAATATAAAAATATATTTTAATTATTTCATTTGAAAAAAATTAATTTTAAAACATTAAAAAAATTAGTATCAAATGGTTTACGTCATGTGTACCAATGCATACTTAATTCTTAATAAAACCAATGATCTAAATAGTATTTTTATACATGATGACCATACTCGGTAAGTCAGAATATGTAGTATAAATCTAATTTAAAAAAATAAATTGTAACAAATTTATTAAAGTTAACAGAGTACAATAAAAGCAATTATAAATTTGATTATATAAAGAATATGTAAATAAAACATGTAAATTTTATTTTTGAATTAATTATTTATTTTAAAAAAACTCATTCGAAACTGCATATATATAGAAAAATAAGTCATATTTATTAACAAATAAAATTACATAAAAAAGAAGAAAAAAACATTTAATTTTATGATAATTTTCATAAAAAATGACAAATTAAAGAGGTCAATTTTAAACAATAAAAATAATATCATCCGCTATATATATATATATATATATATATATTTCATAATCGACAGTTTGTGTAAAAAAAAATAATTAATTTTTTTTTATGATTTTCACATCCAATTTAATGATTAAAAAAACATAAATTATTAAAAAAAAAGAAAAAAATGAATAATTCCACACCATCAAGCACTAGTGAATGATTGCTATAGGATATGTGAGAGCAAAATGTTTTTGCAATCAATTATTGTTTCTTTTCTTTCTTTTTTGATTTTTTTATTTTTTAGAACTTACATAAATAGAACTCCTAGCAATACTAGTTTGTTATGATTTAAACTCATAACTTCTTATAAAAGCCTATTATTGCTGAAGTACAAAAGTAAATAGTTTTTTAATAGCTTTCTTTCTAGATTGATGCAAATGTCCCTTACCTATCCTAGCCTTCCCAGCAAAAGGGCCCAGTAGAAAATTTCTTTTCTAGGTCTTAAACAGAAGAAACACTGGCAAGAACAAAAAAAAAATAAAAAAACACTTGAGGAATAATTAAACAGCTTACAAAAGAGATAAAAAGAAATAAAAACGCAAAAACAGACATTGGCAAAAAAGAAAAATAGAGATGAAATACATGAGCAATAAATAACCAACTTGTAAAAATAAAAAAGGAAATTGTATGGCTATTTTAATGGAGAGGACTGAGGAGGAAGCATCGACAGTTGAGGCACCCAAACAGCTACTATGGGTGTTGATCCACGAGAAATTTTATAATGAGCAGTACCAAATGGTAATTAGTCTACTCCTTTTACCCCTTGTTTGGATAATTCCTCTTGGGAGGAAAGAAAGTGAGAGGAAAGAAAATTATTTTTCACTTGTTGTTTGGATAAAAGTGGAAATGAAAGAAAAAAAATATATTATTATATATTTACTATAATACCCTTAGGATTATATTTTTATATTTAAATACTTATAATAAATTTGTGACCACCTTTGATCTTCAATAGGAAGCACCTAGTAAACATAATGTTAAACGAAAAATATCTTTCATGCTAAAATGATTACCATAAACCTAGTTCATATATTTTTCATTTAAAAAAAAACATGACAAAATAATTAAAATATGCATAGTTTATGGTACAATAAATCAATTTTATATTAATAGAAGTTATTTTATTCCTTGTAGATATTGATGTCTCAAAAACTACAAAATAAACTTCTTACACATTTAGCATTCCAGTCAAATGGTTTTAACTCTAAGTCAAGGAGCGTCATGAACAAAATTGATAATTAATCATGTTCAAGCCATGAATTTACAAATGCGACCCTATGAAAGAAACAAAAACCTAGCTCGGGAAACCAAATAAATAAACTCCATGGAAGTCTAGATGCATGATATTGTTGCAAAAAGTAGGACACTTACACGCAGCATAGGCTTGATCCAGCAAGGGTAAAAACAAGAAAGCTAAAAAAAAAAAAAAAAGGTTAGCTTCAAGTTTCCTTTCAGTTTCCTCCCAAACTTGGGAGGAAAATGGATCCCACAGAAAAAGTATTTATTTATTTTATTTTATTTCTTTCTTTTGGTTTCCTCTACAATCCAAACGGAGGAAAACTTTCATTTCCACCTCATTTTCTTTCCTCTCCCCTGCTTTTATCCCTATTCAAACAGGGGGTTAATTGTTTTGTTAATACTTAATTGGCTAAAACCGAAAATACAAGAACTTGATTGATCAAAGTGATAATAGAGGGGCTTTTTTGATGAATTGAATAGAACACATGGTGCAAATAACGGGTTTCGCACTGTTTGTTTGGATGGAAAAGCATAAAGGATCATCAATTCTGGTTCCTATTTGATATGTAGCTCTTCTTTTAGTAACAAAGAATGGAGATATAGCAATTCACTTTTAAAAAAGAAAGAGAAAAATGAGATGGCATTATTGTATCGACAATTTTGGGAAGTTACTTTCCACAGAATTATACGATAATAATGCATAGACGCCAGTTTAACTGAAAAATGCCTCATCCTCTTACCCAAAAATGTGGGTATATGTAACATTGGTCAGAGAAATGGAGCCTAAATAAACAATATTCCCGAAAAACCAAACAACAGCTAAAACTGGAAACTAGAATTACATGCAACAACCTTTATTTCCAGAATTCTGCTCTTGTGAAGGAACTAAAATCCTAGTTCCCTTGAAGAGACCTGGATTTCCATCAGACTCGTCATTGCCAGCAAGAGTTTTCTTGCTGATTATCCTATATATTTCTGTCAGCACTGTCAAAAAAGCAGTTTCAACATTGGTGGCCTCAAGTGCTGATGTCTCCATAAAGAATAGATTCTCCCTCTGAGCAAACTCCTCAGCATCTTCGGTTGGAACTGCTCGAAGACTTCCCAAGTCACACTTGTTGCCGATGAGCATGATGATAATGTTCTTATCAGCATGCCCCCTCAGTTCCTCCAGCCATCTGGCCATGTGATCGAATGACTGACGCTTGGTCATGTCATAAACTAACATAGCACCAACTGCTCCCCGGTAGTAGGCGCTCGTCACTGCCCTGTACCTGAGAGGAGAAGAAACAGCTCGTGAAATGACAAACAAAAAATAATACTAACAAAGATTCAGATTCAAGTGTACGTCATCTTAATTTTCAACAAGCATAATGGAAGACGTTTCAGTTTGCAAATTGCCTCTGTTAGGCCTAAATCATGATTAAGGTTGAGACCAAAAGAGACTAGGATACCCCATCAGAAGCAAACAATGAGTTTCCGGAGGCAGTTAAGCTATTCATTTTCCATACAACTGTGCATAACAAACCCTATTCAGATAGACAAGGAAATATTGCAACCATAATTTTCATAGTGAATTTACAACATCTTTGATGCCAAATTTAGATCGGTCATGAACCATAGGCTAACATGACTTTAGAGGAAATAAAAGCATGAAGAGGCTCCTAAGCAATGTTAAATGACATGACTGATATTACTGATGATGGGATTCAATTAGTAGTTGGAACTTGATGTCATTTGTTGGCAGGCCTTTCAGTTAGTGACTTGACTGATAGCAATGGTAATGGGATTCAGGATTGCTTCACATTAAATGAGAGAAAGTTCCTCTATATGTAATAAACAAGGCGATGGGCCTTAAGAAATATTGCTTTCATGTCAATATTAAGTTTGCTAATAATACTTCTATTTGGGTCTGATTTCCTACTAACAAAAAGATCAGGATTTGTTCAGGAATAGGAGCTTCTAAAGCAGCGTAATTTTCTGAAAGATGGATCATGGATGAAAAGGGTTCAAGAGAAAAGGACAGAAACAAAAGATCTACCATCTTAATTCAAGATATTTGGAAAGTCGTATAGAACGCCCTATGAATAATTGAGGTTCCCTTGAACAAAGCACAAAGCAGAAGAATTAGCAAAAACAGGTCCTGTGAAATAATGACCAGAGTTAGAGCAAAATTCCAAACAGTTCAACATTGTCCACCGAAGTGAAGCTGCAGGGAGTCTCATATTGCCATAGTAGTACTAGTGTTCAAGAAATCTAAGATGTCAGATCTGAATTTTCCCATGTTACAGCCAAATCATAAATTTTGAAGCTCAGCAACTTATTGAGATAGAATTAAATGCTATTCGATTAGAGGGGAACCACATGCACCACAGTAGCACGCTTCATTCCTCTGTCTTTTGGGTTACTACATGAAAAAAAGCAATAATAATAAGTATGGCATTGCATTTGATGCCAAACCACCTTTAAGCAGGTGCAAACTAACTAGATGTAGGGCACAGCAAGGAGAAAGATGACATATAAAACAGAAACAGGGTTTAAAACAAAAAAAGGAATGGTGAAATGGTCATCTTTTGATAAACTTCCCTCAGTTAGCAGCATCGCCCAGATATGTTATTGTATTTACATATGAAGTCGTAAGGAGTCTATGTGAGAAAGAAAAAGAATTTGCTCGAGTGTTATAGTGAGAACAATGGTAGGAATTTAGCCCCAAAAGAATGAACTTGAAAATTTCATGAAATCCACACTCTACATTTTCATTCAACCAGAAATTCCCATTCATGAAATCTCTTAATATTTTCTCCCTTGTTATCCCTTTTCCTATGTTTTTTTCCCTGAGTGAAACAAAAATAATTATGTCCAACTAGAATTAAGAAACAAAATTGCATCCTACAGAACAGTTCTCTACATTTTTAAAATTGAGTAACAGCTATTGTATAGCAAAGGAACTTTTGCAGATGCCTTTGTGGGCAAACAATACAGTAGAAGACAGAAGCACATGGAGGAAAATTAATATGGAAAGAGTATCTATTTTATTTTATTTTTATTGCTACTTTTGTTCTATGAATTAAGAATAAATCAAGACCAGATAATTAGAAAACCAGAGGTGAGAGTTCTAATTGTTTGGTAATTTAATTAGACTTTTCATATATTAAAAAGTCAGATTAGGCAATAGCTTTTTATGTTTGTATTTGTTTTAAGACTTCTCTATCATATAAGGAGGAGATGGAAATTGAATAAGATATTGAAAAGAATTATAACCAAAAGGTTTAGGAGAGTTTGGGAGGTTTTTGAAGGACAGACCTTCATTGTTAACGTCAAAATAGGTTTCTCTAGGAAAAGCAAGAATCGAAGCAAGGGAACAAGCAAGGATTTTCCTGTACATGGACCTGTGATGCGATCTTTGTGTCGAGGCCGTAAGAGAAAAAAATGGCAGGATCTAGATACTGAGCCCTGATCCTCTGACAAGGAAGCCTATTGAATCTATGTAGATGCACATTTGTGGCATCCAAGGATCATGAGCTCCACCATTAAAAACACAAGTTCTGTCCACTACCAAATCATGAGAGATTAAAAAGCAGATGCGTTCCTGACAAAATAATTAGTCACCCAAACAACCTCTCTTCATTCTGCCTAATTCACAAGGATACAATTCAACCTCCAGTGCATTAATCTGAGCTGAGACTCTTCTAAATTGTTCAAGTTAATTAGAATTCTAGGAAGCCATACCACAAGGAAATGTCACAAACTGTCTTTCCATTTCTTTCATTATAAGATCATTAACTCCATCCACTAGCATTATCTATGTGTAACTTATACAAACTCAAGCACATCATTTTCCAATCTGAATTTTAATCTTCAAAATTCTAATACTCAAGCATATATTGCAAGTGATCTAATCTGAATCACAACAACAAAATATCAAAAGGAGGTGTCTAAAAACACACCTTTCTTGGCCAGCAGTGTCCCAAATCTGTGCTTTGACGGTCTTGTTATCCACAGCAAGCGTTTTTGTTTGGAATTCAACCCCAATGGTGGCTTTAGAATCCACACTGAATTCATTTCTTGCAAACCTTGCAAGAAGCTGTGATTTCCCAACTGCTGAATCTCCAATTAGCACAATTTTGAAAACATAATCAATCTTTTGATTGTAATCTACATAATTCGACATCTTTCACCTCCACAAATTAAATTCCACTAGATTCTTTCCCCAAGAACATATAAAACCATGCAAAAAAAGAAAGAACTTGTTGTGATCTGGCGTCAAAACATCATAATCTCTTCATGCATTAAAATCAATTATAAGCTTTAAAAAAAAAAAAAAAAAAAAGGAAGATTAATTACAGGTCATTCCTTGCAAAAGGGTAAATTGGGAATGAGTGGTGAATGATGGAGGAGAAAATGGGAATTGGAAATGAGGGTTAGGGTTAGGGTTTGAGAGGGAATGATCAAGACAATTTTGGAGATGATGGTTTTGTTTTGTGAAATGGGTTACAGAGAAAGACAAGCGTGTGAGGAAGGAAGAGGGAGAGAAGGAGGGAAAGACCAACGGCCAGTGCGGGACCCATTAACGGTTTGTTATGGTAAAAGGTGTTGGTGTATTTTAGGATACACAAATAAATCAAGTGAGTAGATCTGGGTCGTTGATTGTGGTGAAGTTGATAGGGTCATGCCATTTTCCTTTTTTTAGGGTATTTTATCAAGCAACCACCAGTACCCAAAAAATAATTATGGGTTAATTGTGATAAACTATTAATCAGTGAGATTTTTAATTATTGGCTAGTTATTATAAACTTTTAGACACTTCTATAATATCCATAATCAACAAATTTTTTTTAGATATGAAGAGTGATGCGAAGACATGTCCGTGGGGGGACTTATCCGATTACGAACGGAATGAGAATAATGTCCACGTCTACAATCACTCGTCCGACTCGGTATTTGAACTACGACCCCTATCTCGAGCTTAATTACTAATAAATTTTAAATTTACCAAATAAATATATATTACAATTCAATTAATATTTAATTAAATTTGTAATTACTTAATTAGTACCTTAACTTAATGAACCATTAAATAACCTTAATCACTTATTAATTTTTCAATTACGTTCTAAATATAAATTCAACAAGTATATATTAATTTTTTTAATACAACTTATTTTTAATTACTAAGCATTTAAAATATTTCTAATAACTTAATTTTTTATCTACTGAATATAATTTTCAAAAAATTTAATTTTTTATTCTTAATTAATATTTTAATTACTTAACTATTTAACTTAATTAACAACTAAATAAGCTTAATTAATAATAAATTTAAAATTTACTAAATAACAATATATTACAATTTAATTAATATTTAATTTATTGATTAATTTTATAATTACCTAACACCTTAACTTAATGAACCACTAAATAAACTTAATCACTTATTAATTTTTTAATCACTTAATCACAATAAGTTAACTAAATTAGCAATTATCAATAACACTAATAACAATAATAATTAAATTAACAATATAAAATAATAATAATTAAATTTTCTAACTAAAACAATTCACAATTAACAATAAAATTAGTTCAATCAACAATTAAAAATAACAATAACAATAAAATTAACAATTAACAATAATATTAAATAAATCAATAATTAACAACATTGACAATTAATATTAAATTAACAATTAAACATTTAAATTAACTATCACAATTAACACAAATTAATACCAATATATTTTTTTTAACAAATAAACCATCTAAATTAACACATTACAATAATATTAATTAAATCATCAATTAATAAAAAAAACACATGCAATAAACAATTATAATTAATTAAAATAAAAAATAAAAAATATTTAATTAAATTAGATTAATTAATTAAATAACTGAAAAATTCAAAAATAAAATGAGGGGTTAAATGGGGGTGGACCTTTCACCAAGAGAAGGAAGAGAGGGGGCTGCGCCGATGGAAGCCTTCGTCGGAGATGTTTGGCCGAAAAACGACCGATAGAGAGAAAGAAAGAAAGGAGGAGGAAAAGAGGAAAGAAATGGGGATTTTTGGAGAGGAGAAATGGTAGGAGGAAAGAGAGGAGAAGATTAGAAAAAAAAATGACAAAGGAGGCGGATCCGAGGTGCTCGTCGAAGGAGAAGAAGAGAGGTTGAGATAGAAAATTGAAACTCGTCAACTTTCGGGGGAGAGGGGCAGGTTTTAAAAGATAAAGGTTTAGCGACGGTCTACCATCCGTTGCTAAACCGATCGCTAAAAGTTTTTTTAAAATTTTTTTTTTTTTTGAAAATTAGTTGTTTCTCGCCAATGGTTTGATATTAGCGATGGATTATCGATCGACGGTCTACGGACCGTCGTTAAATTGATTTTTTGCAACCGTTATTTTTTGAAAAAACCATTGCAAAAATTGATTTAAATATTATTTATTTTTCTATTATTTTTTAGTAAGGGTGCGGTGACGGTCTGTCATTGCACCAGCTTTTTTGCAACGGTTAAAAAAAAAGTTGCTAATAGTAATTTTTTTTTAATTCTTTTGATTTTAGAAATGGTTTAGCGATGGTCCTTTGATTGTCGCTAAATTGAATTTTTTGCAACATTTTTTTATTAAAAAACAATTGCTAATCGTAATTTTTTTTTCAATTCTTCTAATTTTAGAAACGGTTTATGGACTCGTCGTTAAACCGAATTTTTTTGCAACAGCTTTTTATTAAAAAACCATTGCTAATCTTTTTTTTAGAAATGGTTTAGCAACGGTCCTTTGACTCGTTGCTAAACCGAATTTTTTTGCAATGATTTTTTATTAGTTGCTAATCATCTTTTTTTTTTTTTTAGGTTTTGTCATCTTAGCAACGAGTTCATGGACCATCGCTAAACTTGCAACGGTTTTTTTCACAAAAATCATCGCAAAAACGATTTGCATGTAGGAAAAAAATTAAACCCATGAAGTTAGCAACGGTTTGGTTAGACCGTTGTAAAAAAATAGTTGTAAATAGGAATTTTAGTGACCGTTTTTTGGATTGGTACTAAATCGCTTAAAACCGTTGTAAATTTTTAAAATTAGCAACGGTTTTTTGACCGTCGCAAATCTATCCTTTTGTTGCAGTGGAAGCTTAAAACGAAATGTAAATTATATAGAATTTTCACAAATCAAACATGGATATATAGACAGTAAAAAGAAAGAAGAATGAGAAGCTCTTCTCTTGTCACTTTTTGGCTGCTAAAGGTAGTTGCTGCCATGAGTTGTCTTCTCATGGCAGCCAGTTTAGGAAACCTAAAAGGTGTGGAAGAAGGGCTAAATGGGTGACTATTTGAGGTTACGGGAGATAGGGGGTGGCTAGATGTCAAGAGTGCATGTGTTTTTGCCGTTTTGGGACCTGAAAAGCTTTCTTTTCAAACCAAAACTGGAGGAAACGTATGGGAGAAGAAGAGGAACAGTAAAAATTGAGGGTCTGTTGCACGCTTGGACATTTGAAAGCTTTAATTTCAAGTGTTTAAGTTAGTCCCACTTTTCCAGGGCCTTTTTAAAATTGACCCTTATATAGTCACATGTAATGATTTTGTTTCAATTAAGTCCTTCAATTTGTTGCAATTTGGCCCCTCCATTGACCGATTGGGGTCTTTAATTGTTTCTAATTTCTACTCCAGATTTCTGCTATTCTCAGATTGACCAATGATACTTTCAAGTAAGTTTAATTAAACCCCCTTAATTAATCCTATTTTTATTCCCCTTATTTCTCTCTCTCTCTTCTTATTTCTTCTTCTTTTTCTTTTTCATCTTGATTTCCTTCTCTCTTTTTTTAGTTCTTTTTTCCACTCATTTTCTTTCCTCATTTTTTTATATTTGATTATTTTTCGGACCCTCATAAAACTCGTAACCAAAAAAAAAAAAAAGCTAAAATTTAAAAAATTAGAGAAATTGAATAAATTAAATGTTTATTTTTGGACATTACTGATTTTTTAAAAAAAAAATTGTAAAAATAAAGAGTCAAAATCGGAAGCTAACAAAAAGCATGCATATATGCTGTGATATTGTAGGAAACTAAAAAAAAAAAAAAACTTTTGTTTTGTAGTGCTCAAGCATATATGCTGTGAAATAACTGAAATAAAAAATTTCAGCCTCGTTAATTTGATAATTTGTTACAAATAATTATAATTTTCAAGTACTAGAAAGACAATTCTCTTTAAATAATTAATTCACTAGTTTAAAATTTGTTTTGAGAAATTTTTATTTTTTTTTTATTTTTTTTATTTTTTTTTGGCTTTGAATGTATTGATAACATGCAAGTCATAAAAATTTAATGAACACACACGTATGTATGGCCGGTATAAAAATGGAGTTTGAATTGAAGTTGGGTTTCTTACGAGAAAATGGATTCCTCGTTTATACAATATATAATCTAACTAATAGCTAGGTTGGCTAAACCTGTCTTTTTAATTAATAACAATATTTGCACTTATAAATAATAATGATAAAATAATTTTCAAAACAACATGTGCTTTTCATCTCTATTTAAAAAGATTTTTTTTTTTTTTAATCTTTTGAGAGAATATCGTCTGTGGTTTTTATTTTCTTATTTTTTCGATAATATATAAGATGGCTGTTATAATATCAATACAAGTTGCTGTTAAAATATATGTAGCTAAATTTCCCTATATGCACAAGCCACTTACAGAGTTTCAAGAGAAATTTATGGAACAAGGCCAAACAATTAACTGATTATTGAGAGGACTAACTAAAATTTTTCAAAGAATCCACATATATATATATATATATATATATATATATATATCTTTCTATTGGCCTACTTTTCATTACAAATATGAACAAATAATCAAAGACAAAAAACAAAACAAAAACAAAAACAAAATTTAACACGAATAACCAACAAAGCTTGAGTAATAAGGAAAATGTTATATTATATGGAAACACCAAGAACTTTTTATCGAATTCATATATTAATAACCATTAAAATTTTTAATTTAACTACTATGAATTATTTTTTAATAAATAATAGGTCTTTCTGATAATTTTTTCAATATTGACTGCATGTGATAGGTTCCAAAATTGACACATGACCAACTGATAACCATTCTATTTTCGCATGTATGTTGTTTTCCTCTGGAAAAAAAAATAATAATAATTTCAAATAAATATCAAGATCACATTAATAGCAGAACGACTCTCATTTATCTCTCCCAAATGCAGTCCTTCTGCTCCATCGTCTTCTCAAAATACCATTGTTGTAGAGTTATGGGAGTTTTTTGGCTTTTTCAGACTCGAACGAAGCTAATTGCTCACCTTAAAAGACAACGTCTGCTGTGGCTTAGGTTTCTTGAGATTTTAAATACACCATTGTGTTTAAATCATTTTTAATTTGAACGAGTCGATAATAGCTTGAGTTGTTGTATGTTTAATTGTTAATGGTTTTTTCATTTATATGAAATCTAGATTTTATAAGTGTAGAGTACATTTTAACACTTTAAAAACCAACTTTATTATATAAAAATGTTGGAATGTCAATCCAACGGCTTATAAATGAGGAGAAATCTCTTCATTGTTCCTCATAACTGAAACAACAGCTAAATATTCCATGAAAACATGTAACTTCCTTGCTCACTTGTACATAAACAATTGTAAAATTTCAAATGAAACAATACTAGTGAGAATGTCTTTGTCTTGTGTCTGAAAAAAGGTTACACCGATAAGACTTTCAAATCGAATATAAATATCTGATCATGAAACTTGATCGAATGAGATGATTAAATTTGCGATAAGAACATTTCTTTTGTGATGATACTAATAAATGGTTTATCGTCAAATAAAAATTAGTGCATGTAATTTTGGTTTGCATGAATTACACAGGAGGTCGTGTGATTTTAACACTTAAATCACATTTGGACAAACATGTATTATTTTGAAAAAAATTATAATACTCAATAAGTAGTTAATAAATATATACAATAGTTATTATATGAATTCATTTTTATAGAGAAAAATATATACATAAAAAAAAATTACATCTATATTTATAAAAAATAATAAACAGATTTTAAGATTTGCTCAATATATTTTTAAATTTTTCTCTTTTATTTCTCTCCCCTCAAAAATAAATTCATAAAATAACTATTATATATATAATTAATTATCCTTATAAGTATTATAAAATTTCTGACTCCCGCTCTTAGAAATGGTCAAACAAGGCAACTTTGCCAACAGTTGACATATAAAAAGTGGATAAGGTTGGATTAAATTGGAAAAGAACCAAAACAACTAAGGTCATTGAATCGGTACAGCTCAGGCTATACATCAAAGAAGAAGGATTCAACTTGCCTTGTTAATCCACTCTTTCATGCAAGGATTGAAAAATTGCCTGAATTTGTACAGACAACTAGACTCCAGTCTCTCTCACCTTGTGTGCGATGGTCCGAGAATCACAGTACAATGATTAGCATCACTTTCATTAACTAGAATATACGACTACAGCCCAAGGAATTAATGCATTTATCTTTCATAACGAGGAATCGACGCATTACAACATCTTCTATACATTTATCTCTTTATTTCAGGTATTGTGTAATTGGAAGCTTTGTTAGCTTCAGGATCGGAACCTGAGGGAGGAAATTTCTACCAAACTTACTACATCTTGCCCACTGGAAAAAATAAAAATAAAAATAAAATCTTGCTTCTTGATACTAAAGATCGATAAGAACTGGTCCTGCAGCCCCTTAGATTTCTGTACAGAAGCACCTCAAACAATTTTGTTCTGCTTGCTTAAACACTTGCAGTTGGCTCGGTTGTCACTTAGTGTCTGCAAAAGAACAGGAATTCGTGAATGACAGATCATGATATATTTGGAAATAATTCCTTGGTTTTTTGTTTTTCTCCTCCATACCTTGTACTGTTTCTGGAGGTCTTTAATATAGTCTACAGCCAAATCTAACATGTCTGCCGTGTTTGTTTGCTGCCAACGAGAAAAATGAACATCATAAGTTTTCCAAGACAACTTTGAAGCTGAACTGTAGATGGCAATATCCTACCTTGTCCATGTTTGGAACAAGCTCTTGTAGTTTCCTCATTCTTTCACTGATCCGAGTTCTTCTCACCTGAAAATTATTTATGCCATATAATCTGATTATAATACAATCACTGTTTGAGCAAATAAACAGGACTATAAGATGGTGATTTATGGTAAGAGGTTCATTATCTGATACATGAATACTGAAAAATGGAATGTAAATGGCATGGTGATAATTGATCATACTCTTTCCGCAATACTTCGAGGATGAGTGGCACAACCACGCTTTGCTCTAACTTTACAAGGAACAGAATCTTGGAAATGAAGGAACTTTTCCATGGCAACCATTTCCACTGAAGTCTTTGGTACACTCAAGTGGTGGGATAATACATGAGCACGAGTTCCAAGCTCTCCGTTCTAAATTCACACAATCACTTGGATTAGAATTTGAGCAATCAACAATAATGAAGAACTCAACACCTAATACACAAATTACCTGAGCATTAGAAAACAGGTTTCCATTTTCTTGATCTCTTTTCATGCTGTTAAAATTCTCTGACAAATGCGAATTGTTCCAAGAACCATATGAAAACCCATGGCTGCTGTAAAGTCGACGGTCCTCGTTGCCACTTCCAAGTTTTCCACTATCAGGGCTGTCTGCCTCCATGCTTTCGCTCCCAATTTCAGAAATCTGCGACAGCAAGCCTAAGGAAGAAGGTACTCTTGATGGGAAGCTAAGTTGACTCTTCAATCTTGGACTTGCTTCTTCATTACTACCACTCAACCCAGAATAGTTTCCCACTCCTTTTATGGTGGGATAGCCTGAAATTTACTGAGAGATTTTCAATAATTCCTTCTACCATCTACCACAACAATATACGAACACTTGAAGTGTCTTCTTCTTTTAAATGTTCTTCTACATTCTTGATGATCTTGGTGTCAAAGGAAAGTTGCATTTTTTAAGATTCTTCCATTAGTTAGGGATAATGGAACCTTTCAAGTTATATTAATTCCTAATGTCTAAATACTTTACTCATCCATTTGAAAGAAACCACAGACCTTTTCATTGCATCAATAAAATGTTTTCTTTAGACTAGTCTCGCTACTAACCTGATGAAACATCTTAAACATTCCAAAGTATTTCTTCTATCTTCAAAACTCAATTGCATTTTTTAGCACCTTGGACCAATTGCTCTAATACATGCATCTAGTACAAAAACACAGATTCTGAATATATAGCAATTGATACAACAATGCATCTACTCCATTTTCAAAGCAAATGATCTTCTTAAAACAATAAGTCTAACACAGTATCAGAAGCAAACATGTAAATTCATTTGAAGAAATGAACCTACAAAAATAAAAGAAACTCTCAACAATACAAATCTAAACAACCATGTGATACCAAATCGCTCAAAAACACACCATTTAGAAATGAGAATAAGAAAAATACCATTTTGAACAGACAGGTTCCCAAAAAGTCCAGCGGGAGAGCTATTCTGCCTAGCAAGATTTGAATCAACCCTTTTAATTTGCTCATGATGACCCATTGATATTGAACCAATCAAACCATATGAACTATCCATAGCTGAAGTACTTGTAACCGAACTCTGCCTTGGATAATGAGGAGGCAAACCTGAATAACTCCGCTGCAAATTTGAATAATTAGCAGCTTCCCCTCTCACTCTTGCTGCGGATTTATCCTCAAACTCTTGGAAATTCAAAACAGAATCATTGTCAACTCCATTATCAGTAAAATCTGCAACAAGTGAAATTGGAGCTGAGCGAAATCTCAATAACCCTGAACTGGGTTGGCTGTTTTGTTGATGATAGTTGTGATTACTACTCGCATCCATTAACAAATGCTCTGTTTTTCTCTGGTTTACTCTGTTTCTTCTTAACTATCGTGGGCTCAAGTTAACAGATTTGATACTGAAGAACCATTTAGACATACCTTAATAGTAAATACTTTATTATATAGCTCAAAGAAAATTCTGGGAATATTTTAGCATCACTTTCTTGATAAAAAAAAATTTGTCAGCTTATTTTTTAAGCAGAGTAAAGATAAGATCTTGAAGAGGAAGCAACCAAGAAAAGTTAAAGTTTAAACCCTTTTAAGAGAAGCATGTAAAGCTTAATGAGAAGAATGAAAAACCTCAAGACAAGGGTTTTATTGATAATATGTATGTATTGTCAACTGAAAAGGTTGAAAGTGAGAGAGAGGTAAGGTGAGTTTTAGTGAAAGAAGAGAAGAGGTTAAATAACAGCCTCAGATTAGCTTTTCATAGCACCGAAAGCAAGGAAGATCTTGAGCTTAGAGGGAGAGAGAGAGAGAAGGAGATGATGATGGGAGCGATAGAGAAAGGGAGACATAGAATGGACGGAGGCAAAGGATTATCTTTCTTCTTCGTTTGCGAGAAAAGGTGATGAATGTAATGGTTAAAGTACAGAAAGCCATCAATGTCATCTCTCCACCTAAATTTTGTGTCTTTTCCTGCCTTACCAAAATACCCTCGCTGTTTTCCCCAAAAAAATAAAAAAATAAATTGTTTTTTATTGGATAAATTTGTTTTATCAAATGAAATGAAAGTAAAATGGTAAGAGTCCATTTCAATTTACCCAAATAGATGGTAATCCTGAGTAAGTAAAGTTCAATATTCTCTAGCATTATTTTCAACACATGCCATCTCTTTTTTAATGGAAATTTGAACTCTTAAGTCCAAAATCACACTCCTCTACATATTTAAATTCTCGTTCTTCAAGTAATTAAATGAAAATTAGGTGATTTTGAGAGCTGTTATGATGGTCAATCTCAAACTCACTTTATAATGAAATGGGAAAAAAATCATTTTCATTCATTTTTTTTTTTTATGTTTTTTTCAATGGAAAACACATCAAACCATATCTCTTTCGGAATTAGTATATCTCGTGGATCAAATTAATCGTTTTGAGATTAATTGAAATGGGAAAAATCAAATTAGGAGAGAGAGGGTGGATCGAGTGACGCTTGACGGTGTTAATCCTCGAGAATTGTGGAACCGATACCGTGGATAACCCATCAAAATAAACAATAAAAAACTACTGGCCAGTTAAATGCGTTGACGTCACCGTTAGATCCTTTGAGAACAAGATTCACGCTGCATCTGATTCGCCCCTTCCGTCTTTGTCACTTTCCCTCTGTGCCTTTGATCCTATCCTTCACAGGCGCCGCCTTTCCATTTCACAAGCACCACTACTTCTTCTCGTATTTACAGGACTAGCCATTAGAAAGCACGTTTTGGCGTGCTCTCGCTTTCAAATTTTTATTGGAATTGGTACCAAAACTAGAGAATATTTATGTGGGGCGAAATTAATAGGAATAATTTCTGGTTTTTTCAAAATGAATCAAATCCACGTCTTACAAAGGCAAAGGGGGAATCAATTTATTCCATCATACATATATGACCTTGAACAGATTCTGACTTTGCTTTAATGGACATGGATTGGAATATGTTTTTGATTTTCTATTACCATCATGAAGAGTTGTTTTTTTAAAAAAAATTAAAAATAAAAATATTCTTTATATTACAAGTTAAAAGTGTTATCTAAATATAAATTTCTCATGAATATATTTACATATAGATAATGAATGATCTATCTAAAATTCAAATGAAATAATAATAATAATAATTACATTCCATAAAAAATAGTATTACTGCAAAGGGAAATCAGATACAGGAATATGCTGAAAAGGCATTTAGGGATATTACACACCGAAGAAACTAGGTAAAAAGAGAGCCTAAACGGTCTGGCGGTCCAATCCGCAGTGTTGATTGCTTCTCTACAAGTATAACAAATTACAAAATTTTGGTAGCGTTCGAGCATGGCCTTAATATCACCTGTAATAGCTTTAATCTCTCAAGAAACAGCCTTTTCTTAGTATCCAGCAATACCCATCACAGTTTCGTTAAAAATTGATGATTAGGTTACGCCTCTATATATCTACTTGTTCTTGAAATAAAAAAAAACTTTAAGTTAAAAATAAGAGAAAATAAAGTACATGAAAGTAGAAAAAAAAGTACTGGAGAATCTGGCTTCGGAGAATGCATAATTTTTTATTTATTTTATAAGCACTTCTATTAGCTTATAGTTTAGTGCTAGAGACAAGAAGATTCCCTTTTAAGTACTGTTTTTGTTTCTTCGTTAATGTTTCTTTAATCGTGATTGAATCTAATCTATGAATTGAAACTTTAATTAATTCAATGATCCTCACATGTACCTTGTGGTCCTCCTCTTCCTCTCATGGCGTCTGTGATAAAAGGGGAGAAAAAAAAAGACCCAAAAGAAAGGTAAAGAAATAAAGTCAAAATAAAAATGATTGAGGGATACAAGACAACGGCTTCACATTCAAAGCTACCACCATATTAAAGTAAGGAGGTGTTTTTGTGGTGGGTAACAAGTACACGTGAGAGAGCATTTTCTTCAACGCTTATGCTACAAATTCACTATCTTTTTTCTTTTTTAAATGAACGAAACAGTGGTCTTGTTGGGCTTTCCAAAAGGTAAATCATTTTTTAGAAAGGGCAAGGGAAGAAACTAGAAAGGGCTTCTAATTTAAGCAAAGATCTCTTGGGTAAGTCATGCTAGACGATCTCTCTGTATGTTTTTTGAGAGGAGGAGAGAGGTGGACGTGGGGCCTAAAAGAATCCAAAACCAAGACCAAGTAAACTAAAATTTGGTTCTCTTGTTCCTGTGGAGGCTATTTTTATGTTATGCGAAAGCCCAATCAATTTAGTCGTTAGTGTATTCTCCTGTTATAAATTGATTTTATCAAATACTTTAACTATAGACAACTCATCCCTTCATTCATCCAAACTCAAAAAATTACAAAAGAAACTAAAATAGGTGATATGTTTCTCATTTATAGACTGTTCAAGCATACTCGGACGATTGTAGACAAAAACTCAGCCACATTGTGTTTAGTCCATTGTTTGTTTCTATACCGTTTGATATTTCTATTCTTCTTATCATCGTCCTCTTAGTCATTGGATTTCCAATTTGGTTTTTGCAGATGGTTGAAATATTTTGCATGCAAGTAGTTTTGGTCCCTAGATATGTCGCTTTTGGTCCTATTTTTTTTTCTTTTACTTTTGGTCTTCGTGAGCCTTTTCTTTCATCCCTACATTTTTTTTATTAGTTACCTTTTATGTTATTAGGTGGCTCGTGATTACATTTTTGCCCTCTTTATTTTTATTTTATTTGCACTTCCACACCTTTTTTCGTAACCTTCTAAATCCATCATCTCGTTCCCATAAAATCACTCTTGTTTTGCATCTAACATCCTCTTCTTTCAACCCCCATCTCTCTCTATACCATAGTTAAAGGAAGGAGAGAAACACTCAAACCAGTTTCACCTCTCTCTCAAAGAAAAAAAATTTCATAGGTTTTCCATAGTTTTCTTTGCAATTCTCTATAACTCTTGTAATACCTTTACTTCTATTTCTCTTGTTTTTATTTATTTATCTCTATTGTTATATTGAAAAAGTGATTGAATATTTGCTGAGAGTAAAAAAAGAAAACAAAAGAAAGGAGAGAGAAACTAAGAGAATTTACGATGACAACGATAATGATTGTGTTAAAGTGCGAGTTGTAAGTGGTCGACAATGGACGATTTTAAAAGAGTTGTTTTAGAGGACTATTTATAGTTAAAGCGAGAGAGAAAGAGGCCGGATTAGGTAAGGAAAAAAAAGTTTTTAGGGTGTGAGAGAGATCCGAGACCTTAAGATAGAGAGAAGAAGCCCTCAAATTGATTTTATGTGAACGAGAGATACATAAAGGTAAAAGAGAGATGAAACATAAATTTGTCGGAAAATTGAAATCACTATAATTAATTTTGCTTCAATTTCTTAACTTTTCATGCTCCTTACACTTCTTACATATTAATTTTTCATTTTTACGTTACTTCGATATGTTTATGGGGTTTATAAATTCTTTTATTTGATTATAAGGTTATCAAATATTTAAGATTAATTGCTATTTTAATTTTTTTTTCAAGTGTGGTTCAAAAGTTTGGTTTGATCTTGGTAAAGAATTTTTTTTTAATTTAATTTTTCTCATGTTTTTTGTTTCACCTCTCTTTTGTCTTTGTTTAAATAAAATTGATTCGAGAGTTTCGATGTCCATATAGCTTTAAATTTATTTATTAAGAGTCTTTCGACCTAAATTTTTACTTTTTTTTGCATGATTTTTGTTTCAACTTTATGTATTTTTATAGGTTGCTCTAAATAAGAGAGTTATGAATTAATGAAGTTCCCGATCAATGTTTGCGGGTATAGAGGTTGAAGATGGTAAGGATTTAGTCAATTTGATGTATTTTTATATTGATTTTCAATTTCAAACTCTTTAATAAATATATTTTATTAAGTGTTTTAAGACCTTCACATATTTAGTTCCATTAATTTTTTTCAAATGCTAATTTTTATTACTTATGGTTTAAATATATAGCCTTTGATAATAGTCATGATGGAAATTGCTTATAGAGATACTTGTGGAGGAGAGGTTGCCATTTTTTAAACGAGAATAATTGCTATGGTTAGTGTTAATTGATTACTATTATTATTTCTTTTTTTTTTTTTCATATTTGAGATTGGATGTTGAGTTTTAGGTCTTCAAGAATGGATGCTTTGTTATGATTTTATGTTGAATTTTATAAGATAAATTTATTATATTCATAACTTTCATACATTTATTTCTTGCTTTTTGTTTGTTTAAGAATTATTTGTATGTTTGTCCTCATTGTTTTTGTTTTATATAAATAGGAATTTTTACTAAAGGCTTGCCATTGGCGAGTATTGTGTCAAAAATAATCTATGACGTA